GTCTATTTTCATCTTTTTGCGTTGTGTTTTAGATGGGAACTACTGTAGAATCGTTGTTATTTGTTTTTCCTTTTTAATTAAAATATCGACTCGGTTGAGGGACTTTGGGGGACCTTTTTCGTAGTTTTCTTCGTGAGACACAGCGTCTCTTTGCATCTTTTTGCGTCTTTTTGCGTTGTGTTTTAGGAACTACAGTGCAATCGTTGTTACATGTTTTTTCTATAATTGTTTAACAGTAGATTTACAGAATCAATGTAAATTCTTTAACACTAGAACTACCAGTCAGAATGAAATAATGAATATTATCTAAGATTAGAATTAATCTGGTAATACTTTCAGAAGACTAGAGCTGTTGAATTTAAAGTTAATTTTCATTTGCGAGAAAGATTCCGATTTCTCTTTGGAAACGAACTGTTATAGACGGAACGTGTTGGTTAATTATATCTTCTAACGTTCATTCATTCTTGTTTCAGGTTGATCTGAAACCACTGCGAGAGGCGACGATCGCCGTCCCGACGCCGAAGATCTCGGAGAAGCGGAAAGCCGAGGAAGCCGACGCCAGCAAGGACTTGAAGAAGGTGAGTTCCACGAGATAAACAATTAACGAACAGCTTCCTTAAAAACTCCCACCGTCAAACATGGAAATTTCCTCGAAAAAATGAATCAATATTGTAACTCGCGGAATAATTGATCGAGACACGAAGATCTTTCAGGATGAATTTATGAAAATATAAATTTATGATAAACGAGTGGTATTCGCGTTTGTTAGATCGAATCGGAAACGTTCCCCGCGAGTCTCGTCGGACGCAGCAAGGCGAGAAGTTAAAGTGGCGTGAACCGCGCGGGAAGAACGTGAAAAGGAAACGTTTTAGAATATTTTCACTCAGTACCGAGGAACGGTAACCGGAACATACGTAATTCATTCTGCGTTTGCTCTTCTCTCGAGCTGCGTGCTTTCTTTTTAGAGAACGACGCTAAATGGAAGAATCCCACATTTCCTTCCCAGCAGAATGCCTGTAAATTATACAAATTCAAATAGCCTCGTTTCAAAAAGTGCCGGGAGATCCTAGACACGATTACTAGAAGAACTGTCGCGCAGATAAGAACGTAATTGCTGCTACACTGCGTGTAAGGAAATACAAACTCGCGTAAATTAATCCGCGAGCGAAATTAAACTTCAGTGACAGACAAAATGAAATTAGAGATTCAAATGGAAATTTAGATAAAGCACCTAACATATGCTTAGAATTTTTCTCTTTTTCCAATAAATTATTAATGACAAAATCAACTATTATACTTAAAAGGAAATATAGGAATAACGTATGCTTAGAATTTTTCTCTTTTTCCAATAAATTATTAATAACGGAGAAAAATTCTAAGCATACATTATGCCTATATTTTCTTTCAAGTATAACACTCGATTACAGAGGAATAATATTTACTTTGCATTCGAATGAACTGAGTAATATATATATTTGTTTTCCTCTTTCTCCACTAAATTCTTAACGACAAAGCAGCAGTACCAGAGTTGAGAAAGAAGTCATAGGCCAAGGGGTTATGTAAGAAGAACCGTGTCCGAGGCGGACGGTGCGCGTCCGAGCGTTGAAGAAGGAAAGAAAAAAGAATGGAGCGTGTATGAGGCCTCTCGAAATTCTATTTTGAAACCGCGGGGCCAACCGATGCCAGCTCCTTAGCCGGCGAAATCGGCGGAACAGGTCCGAGACGGAACGCGTATTTCATCCACTTGTCGCGTATCTCGGTCGTTCTCGTCGATATTCGACGGCGGAGAGCATCCTGGCGCCGTCACGGGCCACGTTCTCATTAATCCAACGGGGAACGGGCCAGTCGTCATTAACGGAATAAACGCCCGCTTACCTTTCGAAATTCGACGCCAGCCCTCGCCTCCGTTTTCCTCCGTTTCCAACAACGATTCCGCGCGCGTTTCCTTCATTTTTCGTCGCTCGTCTCGCTGACTCTCCCCCCTGTCGAATTTAACCACTTGCGCTGGAAATTTAGAGATTTGACAAAGTCTTGCGCAGCGTCTTTGCAGCGCAAGAGGTTAAACAGCGAAAGAACATGTTTCACAAAAGTTCAACGACGCTTGAAAGTCTGCTTTTCGTCAGAGTGGAACGTGGAATTTGGAAAACGAGAATTTTCATCGGTAGTTTCTGAGATTCGTTTCTTGTGATGCTTTACACTTTCTTCGAATTGTCTTTCGGGCGTAGAGAAAGGTACGTTTAGTTTCGTATTTTTATATTAGCGCGGATGTTATGAAGTTCGTGCGGGGACAGAAGTTTATTTTGCGTTAGTTGTTTTTGGGAATTATAACACTTATGGCTACGAGTTTATCCTGTGTACTCGCGGGATCAAAGGACGCTCGGCTCGGAGAGCAGCACTCGGCTGTTTGTTGCCGCCTGTTGCTGATGCCTCGCGTCCTCGTGAGAAAAATTCTGCCTCTCACGCTCTCTTCGAAGAGTATCGAAGTCGGACGATTCGGCAAATAAAATACTAGCCTCGTCGAAAAGCACGGAAGTTCCTTAAACTGTATATCGCCTGTTTGCGCAGCGATCGTCCTCGTAATTAAGAGTCAGAGCGAAGAACAACAATTGAAATTCGCAATAAACATCAATGAACAAGATTGAACGTGCCATCAGAATCGTATTTGTTCCTCGGCGACGAATTTATTTCGAATTCCCGAGCGTCTCCCCGTAGATTAATGGCGGATTAACAATGGCGCCGGAACCGTCTCGAGTTAAGACTTTAAGCGCCACCTTGAGCAATTAATTTCAAGTCGATCCGTGGAGTTGAAACATGGCGAACTCGCTGTGTATCGAAAAAACGGGATAAACAACCATCAGCAAAAAAGGATATAAATGATTCTTTATTCACCGTGACAAGAAACTCTCGCGTTCGAAATGATCCGCCATTACCACGGTTCCCGTAACAGCGCCGTTTCTTAATTATAAACAAAGCTCCTACGTTTTTCTCAACGCCAAAACAGTCTTATCGCATCAACGAAGCTTCCCCGCAAACGTTTCGATCGGTTCGACAAGAGTTTCCTCGTTTAAATCTCGTTAAATCGAATATTCGATTGTACCGACGCGAAGGAGCCATAACCCGACAAAATGGCCGCCGCGCGCGCCGCCGATTCCCGTGCAAATTCGATTCCCGTCGAAACATCAAGCATTCCCGTTTCAATGTTGTTTGCGTCGTCGCTATCAATTACCGCGGCGCGCAAATATTTGATCAAAACGGTCCGATTGGATTCGTTTAGTCGAAAACAATATTCGCGCGTTTTCGCGAGTTTATGCGGCGGGAGGGAAACCAGTTTCACCGCGGCCGCTCAAACATGGAAAACGATACGCGGCCTGGCGTCGACGCGCTAATTTTTCTGCATACCCGCGGGAATCGACGTTAATGGAATCCTTTGACGGTCCCGGTCGTTGCAACGAGCGCGGATTCTTCGTAAATAAATGAATCAATCGTTTTTCGGCCGAACGGCGCGCGGATTGACGCGAATGGTCCGCGAGACAAGCGTGTCATTGGCTATTAACTGTTCTCCCTCTTTCGTTAATGTAAATTTAATTACCGTTTAAACGTCATTAGCACGACGGCGAGGCTAGCGTTCTGCTAAATTGGACGAACGACGTTGATTTACGGTCGCGCGAATACATTAAATCGAATTTGCCGCGGGTCAAGTAGTCATCGTGCCCTCACTCGTCGCCTCTGTTTCTGGGATGTTTAGCGCCACCGATTTTCGCCCCGGGATGATAGTTCGATGGGTTTTTGCTTTCGAAAATGCTCCGGTTGACAGTTAATTTCGTAATTTCATCTGTTCGCAGGACGATTTAATCCTGAATATCTGTGCAATTAACTGTGCGCGTAATTTGATGGAATCATCTTCTTTGAACATTGTTCTATATAGTTTCGAATAGAATGAAAAGTAATACGAATCTTTATGGTACAACGAATTTTAGGAGCTTGCGATAGCCAGTGCACTTAGCAATTTTCCCGTATTACAGCGAGAACCTGCAACGAGAACGCGTTATCGTTGGAATGTGGATTTGATCCATTTACGACGTATCTTGTTACTTTGACGACCGCTCTCCTCCGTGATTCCACTAGCCAGCGCTTATCGTGATAGTAGTCTTTATTGTGACGTAACGTAAAGTTTTACCGCTCAGTTTAAACGATCGCTTCAGTATTTCCTTTAATAAATACGTTTCGATCGCTACATAGATATCTGCGCGAGAAGCCCTGCAGCGAGCTGCGAGATTTATGCCCGATGCATTAGACGCCGTACACGGGAGTACTCTCAAATTTACGATCGTGAAACTATAAAAATTCCATGTTCCAAATTTCACTCAAAACTTCCATCTAGTTTAGCAAATCTTTATGCGCTCTAGGTTGAACCTTGAACAAGCTTAAAGTATACAAACTATGCTTCCAGCTTCTGTAACATCCTCCTTAGAAACCCACATTCAGACGATCCTCCAGAATCAACTCAGTTCTCGAAACATAACCATCCACACAGTAAACGTTCACATTCCTGAAGATTATCTAACGAGAATCTCATTTTCTAAGTAGACAACGACGATATTTCGAAATGGACTCAAAGAGGTCACAAGTACATTCAGGAACACAGTCTTTTTCCTCACAATTTCAAGCACCGATGAAATTGACCAAATGTAATAATTAAATATAAATAAATTAATGTACACATAGATGATATTGACCACAGTTCAATATTAACCCTTTGCAAAATCTGATATTTAACACTAAACTTTGTATAATGCTTGGATACGTGAAATATTGGAATAAAATAGCTTTGTTCCTCAATATACTTGATTCTTGTTCGAGTTAGTTTCAAAGAATATCTCGTCAAAAGATGTTAACCCTTTTTCGATAGGAAAATTTTCGATTCGATACAACAAAACTATGAAGTTGAATATCTAATATTTCAGATTAAATTTGGCACTGCTACGTGAAATAGTTAAATAAAACACCTCTGTCGCTTAATTTATCTATGAATTATTAAACTAGTTTCAAACAATATCACCTATGTCTCGCCAGAAAATGTTGAACATTTCTATTGAAAAATTTTCAAGTGCAAAGGGTTAAACATCAACTTCTATAGTTCCACCGCACGAAATCAAGTGTTCTAAAGTCACCTCTCGAGTGCAAGGGTTAAACATCCCCCGAAAATTCCAAAAAACCTTGCTCCCGAGCTGCAGTCCCACTCGAGCAGGCCGACTTCATTAATATTTCCCGTCTTCGGAGGGTGACGACGTCCGGGCGAGAGGGAGGGGTCGAACGAGGGTGGTTCGATCGCGCGGAATAAAGTGTTCCGAGGTTCAGACACGACGTCGAAACTCCGCGGGCTGAAAATAAACGGGGGAAAGAGGGCCAGAGGAAAAAAACGGAGCAAGAAACCACCCCTCGGCTCGGCTAGCTGCCGTTCCACGCGACTGCGACCCCCTCGCTTCGCCATCCCCTGCCCGGCGAGGCTGACTTATGTTTCCATCCGCACGAATTTTCGCGCCGCTCACCCCGTTCTGGACTTTCGGCTGTATCGACC